CTCTCCGCCTAACACGTGTAACCGTGCGAACGCATAGCAAAACAGTCCACAGACCAAACTCTCGATCAAATCCAGCATTCTCCAGCCATCGTAGATCAGGCAGCCCTCAACACACCCATAACGCCAAGCGCGGCGCGCCACCCCCAGCGCAGCCCGCAAGAAGAAGAAAGGAAAGAGAGCGGCGGGCGGCGGGCTGCGGGGCGCGGCTTGCGGCGCCGGGAGGCGTGCCCACCCCGCCTCCTCCGCCGCAGATCAACGCGGCCGACAACATGGACGGCGAGGAGTTCGGCGACGACAACTTCGACTTCGACGCAGAGGCGGAGGACGAGGACCGCGGAGGGGACATCGCAGACACCATCTAGTCCGTCTCTCCGCGCCTCGGCCGTCGACAGGGAGCATGAGGCCGGCGTGGCTCCTCCGCAGTACACTCACCCGTGAAACACCGCGGGCGAGCGAGTCCGACACACGAGAGCTCAAGGGGTTGTTGCGACGCGCGAGCGGTGCCACAGGGCACAGCGAGGTGGAGACACCGTATACTACACTTTTTGGTCATCTCAATCGTGACAATTGCGCGGCACCGGACCCCCCGGTGCGTGTGCGCCGGCCATCGCGCAGTCGAAAAAAACACTGCCCCGGGTAAGAATAAGAGTTATTTCACGTCCCCGTCGTTACGGCTCAAGGCAAAAGCCGTGCACCGGCGCGACACAAAAGGAAAGGCGCCACACGTCGGAGTTGCCCCGTGCCCCGCGACGCCCGCCCCCTCTACCGCTTCCTCGAGCCGGACCGCTGGCTGCCGCTCGACCGCTTGCGACTCCGCTGCGCCTGCGCCGGCGCCTCGCCCGCCTCTGCTCCCGCGGCGCCCTCCTCGGCCGCCTCGTCCGGCTCATCGGCGTCGTCATGCGCGGCGGCCGAGGCCTCTGCAGGCGCGGCGGCCTCGCCGAGCGGCGGGAAGGGCGAGTCGTGCGCGGGCTGCGCCTCGCTGTACCAGGAAGAGTAGGCCGCCAGCTGCTGCGCGACGACGGTCTTGAGCGTGGAGGCCATCGTGTGGTAGTCGGAGCCCTTTGGGTTGTAGAGCATCGCGTTGTTGAAGATGAGATTCAGGTCCGACACCAGCGAGGCGACGTCGCGGATCGCGCCTCCCTCCACCTTCTTGCGCAGCGTCGAAAAGTCCATCGGGTCCGTGACGATCTCGCGGTAGTCTGGCGCCTCCTTCTCGGTGACGGGCCGCTTGAACGGGTGGGCCCACCGGTGCTTGGTGATCGAGACGACGAACTTGAGCAGCGCGCCTGTCCGCGAAGCCAGGCGAGCGCGCGCGTGCGGCGTCGGCGCTGGGCGGCGGAGGGCGGGAAGGGGCGGAGAGAAGCGGCTGCGGAGGGGGCGGCGCCTTGGACGCTCGCGCGGCGCGGATTCTTCTCCTCCTGCGCGAGCTCGACCCACGGGTCGACGCCATCCGTCGTCTCGGCGCTGCTCAACGTCGACTCGGCCGCCGGCTCCGATGTGGAGGCTCGCCGCGCGCCCGACCGGCTCTTGGCCTCGCGCTGGCCGTCTGCGGCGGCGGCGCGGAGGGCAGCGATCACCGCGGTGAGCTCGGCGACCCGGCTCGCGGCGAGCTCGCCCGCTAGCTTGGACAGCGCGGCGTCACCCTCCTCCGCCTCCTGCTCCCTGTGCACCTCCTCGCACCGCGCCGCGCTCGCGTCCTCCTCGTAGCCGAGCGCGGCGAGGGCGGCGCCGACCGCTTCGGAGACGCGGCTCCAGTCGTCCGCGCCGTGGCGCTGGACGGCGAGGACGACGAGCAAAGCAGTCGGGGGAGTGAGCTCCGGCTCCAGAGGCGACATCGGTTCCGCGCCGGCGTGCGGCCGCAGAGACAAAAGAATTCTTGGAGGTCCACCTCCAAGCCCTGATAAATGAAAAACCCCGTGCCGCGCCTAGACCGGAAACTCGAGCGAGCCCAAGCAGCGCCGGGACGCTCCTCTCCACCGTGATGCTCCTCGCCATCGTCGTCACCACGACGTGGCTGCGGACGGGCGTCGCCCACGACATCGTGCGCCCGCTCTCCAACGTCGCCGAGATCCCTGCCTCGCCTGCCAGGAGCGGCGTCGACCTCATCGCTGGGCAGGTGCGCGGGTAGAGCTCTCCACCATACTCTGCCGCGATCCCGGCTGCTGCGAGCACGGCGCCGCCCGGTGCGCGCGAAATGACCCCTGCCGTTCCCGCGCGCACGCAGGTCGCCGAGGAGGACGTCGAGTGCCAATGCGCAAGCACGACAAATGTGCGCGCGTCCGCCGCCGCCATGCAGCCCCACCCCTCCCCGCCGTCGATTTCGTCGCCGTCCGTGCGCGCGCCGCCGTTCACTCTGCCGCCGCCGTCGCCCCCACTTCCGCCGCCCCCGTTTTGCGCCTCGCCGCCGCCGCCGTTCTCCTTTTTCCCGCCGCCCGCGCTTCCGTCAGTCGCGCGCGCGCGCGGCTCGCCTGCGTCGCCGCCGCCCCCCCTCTCGCCGCCGCTCCCCTCACAGCCTCGTACAAGGGTGCCGCCGTCGGCGCCACAGCCTTGGCTCGCCCAAACGGTGACCCTCCCCCATCCCCCTCGGTGCTGCCCCACCTTCATCAGAACCAAATCCTCACCCCCCCCCCCCCCACTGCGCCCCGAATCAGGTGCCATCGCCACGTTTCCGTCGGATGAATTATGTGGAATTGTACCCCTCGGTGGTTTCCAAACCTATTCAAAAATGGACGCTTACAGAAATCGGCAAAAATTCAACCGTCACAACAACATCATTGCGTTCAAAGTGCACAAAGGGTGGCGCGATTTCGGTTGAAATTCGCGTCACCACTCGCCGCCTCTCGCCGCCGATCGATGACGAAGAGGAAGACCGAACTTCGCCCCAACTGCGAAACGATTGCGATTGGCGTTGGCCTGAAGGACTTGCCCCGTTGCTGAATCTCGATGCACACCTTTCGCTGCGAAATTGGGAGCTCAAACCAGGTCATGTTGCCCCATTGCGGCTTGTCGGAACACACCTTTCGGTGCGGCATTGGGCGCTGGAAGGAAATCAAGTTCAGCTGATTTCAAACGCTACCCGATACTACTACTCAGCTTCGTCTTGGGCTAGCCATAGATACCTGCTTCTTGATGAGCGCACAGAGTACTTTGAGTGGCTCTGCACCGTTCGATCACGATGCTTCGGATTGCCACCGGGCTTGGTCTCCCTCGGCGGCAACTCTGCATTTCTCAGCGGCTACGAAGCCGGCTCGGCTGTCGGATACCTCTGCGTCAAATGGGTGCGCATGCTCGTGAAATCACCTCAGAGTTGCGCCTTTGCCATGGTGCCAACATTGATGGTACTCACGCCACTCGTCAACAACGACCCGCTGTTGGTTACGCACGGCATCGCGGCATTCCACTCAGGTGTCAAGGTCGCTTCTTTGATCGCAACAGACGGTTCCGTGCTCGTGGTTGCGACCCCGCTTGCTACAAACTTGCTCCTCGACCACTGCCTGGACTTCGTGCGACACCGCAATTCAGTTCAAGCGAAGCGCGAATTGGCAAAAAAGCGCCGAAGGCGGTTTAAGGCGCTGCGGAGGAAGGAGCTGCGATTGTACCGGCGGGGCTTTGGCGCCCACCTTGTAATTGCGTGCGGACGCTCGTACTGCTTTTTCAGAACGGAGAGTGGCAGGTTCGAATGGCTACCATCCTCGTCGACACGCGTCGAGAGGCTCGCTCTGCTAGCGGAAGGTTGCATTCCATGCTTTCGTCCCCCCCGCAAGCGGAACGGTCCTACTCCGCCGCCAACCTATGCGAGCTCCGAGACGCCCAATGAGGGGAGAGCTGAGGAGGAACTTGACAGCTGCCCTCTCGACGCAGATGGCTGGCCATCGGGGACAGGGACATTCTGGCCATACAGGTTTTCGGCAGAGTCGGTCGCGGGCTACAACCGTCGGATGGTAGCATATGAGGCGTACGTGGCAAAGTACCTGAACGAACCTTACGACCCTGAACGCGCGTGGGAACAAATGAGGCACGCAAAGTGAAACCTCAGAGATCGATTTGAGCGCGGCAGTTTCTGAGGCGAATACGCCCGAGCACGATGGCCCGTTTGCGGAGGTTACGGAGGAGGAGTATCTCGCCCTGGATCGAGATTGGCAAGAACGGCGCCGAATCGGGTCTGACGACCCGGGAAGTCCGCCGCTCAATCCGGAGCAACGCTGCGCTGGCCGGGCCTTCTATCGCGCGGTCCGGCTCCGGGCTCGGCTGAAAGCGATGGGAGCAACTTCGGACACTTTCGTGAAGGCCTTCAGCCGCGCCGGGCTGGACCCGACTGTGATGCTGCTGGGGCCAGGCGGTACGGGCAAATCCAGGCCGGACCGCAGACGCCGCCGGGGACGCCGCCGCTGCAGCCGGCTTCTAAGCGGGAGTACGGCTGCGCGCTCTGCGGCTCAAAGGACCACAACCTCACCAAGACGACGAAGGGTGTGAGGTCGGTGACCTGCCTCTACCACAAGGAGTTCAAGGCCGTGATCGGCAAGGAGGACGAGGTCAAGTTCGTCAAACTGACGCCGACGGAGAGGGCCGCAAAGCGGGCGGAGGAGGCGGCGAAGAAGGCGAAGGAGGCGGCGAAGGAGGAGGAGATGGAACAGGAGGGAGAGCCGTGAGCTGCGCAGTGAGAAGAGCGGCGGCGTAGTAGCGGTCGAGAGAGGAGTTGTGTTGACTGTTGTCTTCACACCGTGTCGGGAGGTGTCCGCGACGAGGGGTCGCGACACACATCTCGCACGCGAGGTCGAACCATGTCCTCTTCTTTCACTTTCCTGAACGCCTTGCCTATCATCATGGTTGCAACTAAAAAGACCTCCAAGCCCTGGGAGCCCTCCCCTTACTATTTCAACCACATCGGCATTTTGGCCTATGTCTTTTGTGCAAGTTTCTCGATGAGGCGGGGATCCGAGAGAGTTTTTTAGCAATACCAAACAACTCTAACACTCACACGTCATTTGGGGCCTGGAGCCCTTTGTTTTGGGGATCCGTGGTGAGCAGATTCCCAGATTACTTTTCCCTCGAAGACATACTAGTTTTTTGGCGTTCAGGTGCCTACAAAAAATATCCGAGATCCCATGGAGCAAAACACAGGGTTTGCGGCGGTCACTGTCCTACCAGCGGGCACAGTGCTCAGTGGGCCGCGGACACCCGTGAATGACCTTAAAGGTAAGAAGATAAAGCGGACAGAAAACAGAACACAACACAAGCGATCCCGCAACAGCGATTGTGGGGACTACATGATCCGGACTAAAGAAGGTCGCACCCCACGATTCACGCGACAGGCAAGGCGCGGGCGACGGCTTCCTCAGAAGCCGTCGCCCGCACGCCGCACCACAGGAGCAGTCACACCACTCCCACTCCGGCGCCCACCCAGACCCACTCCCCACCCCGACATCCCCAACCACACACCCCACTATCCCGCCCCACCCCGACCCGAGCAACCCCGCCCCACCCCGACCCGACCCGATCCACCCCGCCCCGCCCCGCCCGGCCCCCCCCCCACCAGACAAACCCGTGAGAAGAGAAAAGAAACTTGCAAGCACGACGAGAGTGGGACGACCGCGAGGTGGCATGAAGGTTGCAGCGAGAATCGGCGAGGGACTGCGAAAGGCGATGAGCTGCTGCCGCAGTGGGGTGGTGCCCAATCGGGCTTACCGGGGGTGCGGTCTGCGGCTCTGCGCGCCGGAGCCCGGACCGTCCGCGCTGCTCGCGCGCCGGTTATGTCGGGGGAACCAGCAGCGCAGAGGTCTTGGCCGCTACCGCGTCCAGCCTCGCCCCCGCCGCGTCAGCCGAAGCTGGGGCCGGTCCCGTAGCCGAGAGAGCCCGCGTCGATGAGTTCGACGCGGTCGGGAGGCCTTGCCGCTTGCGGAGAGGCCAGCGAGATGGCGATCGCTGTACTTCATGGTGTGATCAAGTGACTGGCTGCACTGCAGCCATGGACATCTGCTTGTTGGTTTTCAAAAATCTCTCATCGGGGCTGCGTGTGTGGTGGACGGACGAAAGGGAGCGCCGACGCCGCCCCATGGCCCATGCACACCGTCCGGTCCGTGTTAGAGAGATTTGTTGTTTTTAGCCCCCCGCTACCCAGTCCCGTTCGTGCGACGTAGCGGGGGGCCACGACTATGTTTACGAAAACATAAGTAGTCTCCCGCGAGGTGTGAATTTTGCCACGGGCCGCCCCAGGGTTCCGGCTCCTAGCCGGATAGGGGGGTCTGTCGCCACTGACTCGCGCCAAAACGCCCTACCTACCTACCTATCCCCAGGCCGCGCAGCGAAGCGAAAAAAGATGAAAATAGGGGGTACCTACCTATTGCAGGGCCCTTTTGTGCGAAACAAAGGATGCCGCCCAAGGTTTTTCCATTCATTCACGAACACCAGCCCTAGCACCAGCCGCGTTATGGCGCTCTTGACCCACCCACGTGCCACGTCGCGTCGTAGGTACTGCGACCCCGCGAGAGAGAGAGAGAGAGAGAGAGAGAGAGAGAGAGAGAGAGAGAGAGAGAGAGAGAGAGAGAGAGAGAGAGAGAGAGAGAGAGAGATGAAAACAAAACAAGAATCCGTACGCGTGGAAACCGGAGAGACACAAGAGCCCAACGGCAACGCACTCTCTCACATGACAAGGTCCCACAAAAGAAAAGATAGGGCCTGGCGTTAGAGTACAGGCAGGCCCTCCAAATTCTTCAGGACGGGACTCGGTAGTCGTGACCCCCCTGACGCCTGAGTGTGAGGAGCAGGAGAGAGTGAGAGAGAGCTTTGTGGTGTTGGTGTACGCAATAACGGGACAGGGTGCTTGTTCTCTCCATCTACCCTTCTAGCTCTTAGCATGAGCTGCGCCCTGTGTCCGACCCCTTTTGCGCAGCAACACCTTAATGCTTAAACTTCAGGCTGCCCTCCAAATTCGGGTCGGAGCGTAGGTACAAGGTAGCGGAGTGGGCCCCGAGTTTGAAAAGGGCGACGGACGCTTGCGTCCTAGCCTCCAACAACGCCTCCCCGGCGCGGAGGGGCCCCGGACGGATGCACAACCGCTCCACGCCACGCCGCTTCACTCAATTTCTTTTTCTGGGCGAACACACTGTTTGGCTACCAGGAAGAGGCGCGAGCCCTCTTCTGCGAAGAAAGCCCGCGAGCCCTGTGCGAGACGATATGACTCAACAGCTGGGCGAGCCCCTACTCCCGGGCCAAGGCCGCGGGCCCACGCGCGACCTCGAGGCTGCACGCGGAGCGTTTGCCACCGGCGACATCAACGCCAGCCGAGCGGCGCACGCTGCGCCGGTGGTCGTGGACCCGCGCGCGAGCGAAGCCCATCAGGAGGGCGGAGGGCGGGTGAAGAGCATCGTCTTCGGCGGGTGCGCCGCGTGCTGTTTCCATCCGCCCTGCTGCCGCCTGAGCGACCACTTCGAGCGAGCCCCTCACCCTCTCGTCACCGTAATCAGGCTTGACGGGATCCTGACCTCGTTCGCTATCGTCTCGGGCGCGGTCGGCGCGCACGTTCCGGCCGTCGCCATCCTCGCGATGGGCGTGTCCAACGTGCTCGCCGACGCCCTCTCCATGGGCGCGCCGCTCCCACAGTAGAGCGACGCACCTCAATCTGCCACGAGCAGCAGACGGCAGACGGCAGAGCGGTCCCTCGCCTCGCAGCGGCGCGGCCCCCGCTTAGCTCGCGCCTCGCCTGCAGGCGCGGGCGAGTGGCTCTCTTCGCGCGCGTACAACAGCTACGTGCAGAAGGAGCTGGAGCGGGAGACTTGGGAGCTGGACAACTACCCGGAGGGCGAGGTGCGGAGAGAGAGCTGCGGAGAGGGCGGCGGAGAGGGCAGCGGCCGAGGGGGAGCCGGTGCCCCCGCCCCCCCCCTCTCCCCCTCGAGGCTGATCGCCTCCGCTCTGTTCGGGAGAGGGGGACAGAGTAAGAGTAGAGATGTCTGTGAGTTCGAGAGGCGACTGCGAGGGCTGAGACAGGTCCGGCGAGCCCGGTCCTTTGCGTTACTGGGCGGCGGGTGAGGAGGCGACACGAATGAGTGCCACCCCTCCTCCGGGCTCCGCCGACACCTCGAGGCCGACGCCAAGAAAAGGTCCTCAAGGGGGGGTTGAGCGCCAGGCATGTGGGGCCATGGCTCGCTCGCGGGCTGTACCGGTCCGGGAGAGCGGCGTCTGCTATTAAGAAAAGAAAGAAGCGACCAACCGGTCGCGGACCGGTGATCGCGGCCAGCCCCTGGTTGGAGTGTGAACGGGCTTGGTAGCCCGCCGCCGCCCTCCGATCGGCTACTTTAAAAAGATCCGCAGGGCCGGCGAGCAGGGGACTGTGGTGTGTGGAGAGCGAGTCTGTGGAGCGAAAAGAAAAGCTCTAGGTCAAGCGAGTGGCAGTGGATCGCGGCCCAAGCTTATATTGCACTAGAGGATAGAGCCCTATCGTAGGGGGCTGGGCCTGTCTGTGGGGCTGGGCGCGTCCGTGGGGCGTGGGGGGTGTCGAGAGAGGACAGACTGTCATATACTCTGACAGTCTGACGGACTAGGTCCAGCCCTGGGTGAGCCAGATCTGACGTTTTGGGACATCGCGTCAGATCCGTGTTTTTTTGGTCTTGCGGTACATCTCTCCGCTCGCCACCTCACGCTCCGCCGTCCGGCCATGGATGGTCCGATGGAGCTCGCCGAGCTCCATCGGACCATCCAACTCCGGTCACCGAGTCTGAACGCGCTCAGCCTCAGGAGGTACCAAACCGCGCGAATTCTGCACGCCTCGCTGCACCGCTGGCTTGACTGAATCAGGCAGCAGCAGGCTGCTGCTGCTGCCACAGCAGCAGTCTGCTGCGGCCCTAATACGCAAGTTGATGACTAGCAGCACTGCCGGGGACATTCGAGCCGCCACAGCCGGTGTGCAGCTGTGCACTGCCACCTGCCCGCGGCTAAGCACAATGTGTGCTCGCATTGGATGAGCCCTGCTGATGGACCTGCGTCGCCTTAGCTGCACGAGAGCAATGCCGCAGGCGGCGGCCGTGGCATACACTGCGAGCACACTCGGTGCAGCTGCAAGGTGCAGCAAGAGCACGTCGTTCCTGCCTCTGATGCCACTCTCGCGGCTTGTAGCGCGTCACTCGCGCATGCTCTCCAGGAGCTATGGCGGGCGCGTGTGTGGGGCTGTAGCCTGTGTTTGGCCGGTTCTGACCCGTTTACTATCAGTACCATGCCTGGGCCACAATAATCGCACACGGGGAGCGGCTCAGGGACCCAGTAAGCCGCGGAATCGCCAAATGTCACAACCCGGCTCACCCCCAGGGCTGGACCTAGTCGACGACAGAGGACACGACAGACGACCGGGGGACGATCGTCCCGCCCACCTAGGCACGACCTCTGCGACAGGATTTTGCAAGGTATAAGCGAGGATTGGTACCCCTCACCTCCGCACTTGGAGCACTTGGAGTGAGTCGGTAACCTCACACCCCCCACAGGGCCGGGGAGCTAAGAAGCGCGGCAAGCGCGCGCCCATCGCGGGCCGGATGATCGGCATCGGGTTGCGCGGGGCTATGAGTGTAGAGAGCCCTGACCCGTGGGGGGTGCGCGTTCGCAGGGAGCGGCCGCGGGGCCATAAGCATAACGAAGTAAACACGAGTCTCCGAGAGGGTTGGTTCTGCGCTTTGGGTTAAGTTCTATCTTGACTCCACGGCCGCGGCGGTCCCGAGATCCCGTCTCCCCGGGCGCGAGGGCGGCGGCGTCGGAACGTACCGCCGCACCTCCTCGAGTGACCGGGCCAGCTCTCCGGTTGTAGCACTTTGGTTGGCGCCTTGGTTGGCGCGGGGGAGGCATTTGCGGCGTCGCCGCGCGCGACGACGGCGAGCACGCGGAGGTCGCACGCCTGCACGCGACCAGGGGCACCGCTTGTCCGATCCCGCACGCGCCGCCGCCGTGGCTCGTTGCAAGCCTTGCTTGCCTCGCTGGGGGGGGGGGGGGGGGGGTGCAATGGGAGCTGCGAGTGCTGCGGTAGCGCCAGTAGAAAAGAAACCGCTTCGCGCAGCGCCCGCAGCAAAACGTCGAGACATGAGCGGAAGTGCCGCGAACCAGCGCCTGCAGGCCATCTACGAGAGCCTCGACTCGGGTAACAACAAGCAGGCCGTCAAGCACTGCAACGCACTTTTGGCCAAGGCCGACTACCCTCTAGTCAAAGCGCTCAAGGCGCTCGGACTGCAGCGATGCGGCCGGTTCGACGAGGCGCTCTCTGTTGCGCGTGAGCTCGTGTCCAGCCCAGTGGCCTGCTCGCACGAGGCAACCCTCTCGACAGTGCTGATGGTCTTTCGGCGCGCCGGCCTCGCCTCAGAGGCGACCGCCATCTGCGAGCGCGGGCACGAGGCAAAGCCGCAGTCGGAGGAGATTGCCGTCGAACTGCTCCGATGCCACCTGCAAGCGGCCGCGTACGGGCCGGCGCAGCTGCTCGCGCTGCGCCTGTACAAGGCGTCGGGCCGCGCCTCGCACCTCTCGTGGGCCGTCGCGATGGCGCTCCTGCAGGCGGACTCGCTCGCGCCGCCCACTCACGCGGCCGCCACTGCGGCCTGCGACGAGGCGGCGGCGGCGGCGAACGAGGCCCAGCGGCAGAAGCTGCTGCGGCTCGCCACGGCGATGATGGCCCGAGCCGAGGTCAGCACTGAAGGCGAGCTCCAGCTGCGGCTCGCAGCCCACCGGCGGGCAGGCGCCAGCGAGGAGGCGACGCAGCGGAGGCAGCGAGCCACAGTCGTGCGTCTGGCTGGCTCGACCGCAGCGCGTTGCTGGCACTAGGCGCTCGCGCTGCTCGACGCCAAGGGAGGCTTGCTCCCCACCGCCGCCGAGCGAGGCCGAGCCCGCGCCTCGCTGCTCGAGGCGACGGGCCGCGCAGCAGAGGAGGGCGATGCCACCCGCCACCCGCCCACCCGCCCACCCCCGGCCACAGAGAGAGAGGAGTCGCCAGAGGAGGAGGAGCCCTGCCCGGTCGAGGAGCCCAGTCCACCTCCCCGGCACAGGCGCCACATGCATCACACACACACACATCCACACATCCACAGTACACGTGGAGATCTCACACCCATCTCCCCGGGGCAGGCGCGCGAGGCGCAGCGCGAGCTCCTCCTCCTCTCGCCCGGCGACTGGGGCGCGCTGGTCGGCTTCGTGCGCTCGTCGCTGCGCGCCGGCGGTGCCGAGGCCGAGGCCGAGGTCCGCGCGGTGCTGGCGGAGCTCGGGGGCGGTGGCGGCGGAGGCGGGGGTGGAGATTCGGGTGGGGGATCCTCGGCCGCGGGCGGCGCCGCGGCTGGCAGCGCCGGCGGCGGGCGAGGCCCGCTCCTCGCCGCCGCGGAGCTGGAGGCGAGTCTGCTCCGGCTCGCCCCCGGTCTACTCGACACCGAGGAGGCGGCCGGCGGTGGCGAGGCGGCGGGCGAGACGGCGGAGCTGTCCCCGCGCCCCGCCTCGTACGATCCGCTGCTCGAGGCGCTGAGGGCGTACTGGCGCGCGTACAGCCACAAGCAGTGCGCCGTGTACGACGTGCTCCCCTACCTGCGCGCCCTCCCCGCCGCCTCGCTCTCCGCCCTCCTGCAGCAGCTCGAGGCTGAGGTCGGGCAGCCGCCGCCGCCGGACGCGCCCCTAGGCGAGCGGAGGGCTTGGCTCCGCCGCTTCTCCGCCCTCGGCGAGTGGCGGATCGGCGGCGGCGCCGCGGCGGCGCAGTCGGTCGACGAGCGGCGACAGCTCGCCGCGCAGTTCGTCGCTGCGCACGCCTCCGCCGCCGACCTCGCCGCTGCGATGGACGAGCGCGAGGTCCTCTCGCGGCGGGTTTGCGCGGGGGGTAGGGCCGCCCCTCCCTCCGAGGCTCGCCCTGCGCGGTAGGTGCGGCCTGCCGACGAGCTCCCCCTGCTGGCGGCGGAGCTGCAGCTCGGCGCCCCGATGGTGGAGTGGTGCTACCCCTCGCGAGGCAGCGCCGCCGACCTCGCCTCAGCAGCGCTCGCCGCTGCGACGCTGCAGGCAGGGCACGCGGCATCGCCGCACAACGCGCAGCTCTCGGTCGCGCTCTGCGTCGCGCTGCTCTGCCTCGGCGCGCCGGTGCGGGCGGTCAAACTCTTCCGCGGCGCCGACATCAAGCAGGCGCCCCGCCGCGAGACCGCGAGACCGCGAGACCTCGAGACCTCGAGACCTCGAGACGCGGTGGCGCACCGCTCGCGGTTTCCGGGCTGCAGGTGCAGTACGAGTCCCTCTCACACCTCGTCCTGCCCGCGGCGCTCGAGCTCGGCTGCCCCACCCGCGAGGGCGAGCTCCCCCTCCTCCTCTCCGGCCTCCGCCGCTGGAGGCAGGACGGGCTGAGGGACGTCGCGGAGAACACACTCCTCGCGCTGCGGCAGGGCCATCCGGCGCAGGCGCTCGAGCTCGTCGCGTTCGAGCGCGCCGTCCGCGGCTCGTGGTGGGGCGTCGCCGCCGCCGTCATGGAGCGCCTCGTCGCCCTCGGCGCCTCGGACGGTTCCGCCGACGCGGCGCGCTCCGCCCTCGGCGAGGGCAGTCCGTTGCTCGACGTGCCGCTCACCGCCAGCCAGCTGCATGCGATGCCAGACACTCTCGACCTCGAGTCACTCACTACCCGCTGGCCGTCCGCCTCCGCGCCGCCCCCTCCTCCGGCCGGCTCTTCCAGCGTGCCGGAGGGCTCTTGCGGCGCATTGGCCGGCCTCACGCTGTCGCCGCCGCCTCCTTCCGCCAGCACGGTCCGCACGCTTCGCTGCGATTGGCTGCCTAACCCTTACCCTTACCCTAACCCATACCGTAACTAGGTCCGCATGCTTCGCTGCGACTGGCTGCCTCGCCGCCAGCGGCTGCTCCGCTTCCTCCACCTGTACTTTGGGGGCGCCTCGTCTGCGGGGAGCGCCCGCTGTCTCTTTCCGCCGCCAGAGGAGGCCGTGCTGTGTGAGGCCGAGGCGTCGCTGCGCGAGCTGTGCGGTGGCGGCGCCGCCGGAGGCGCGGGGGGCGAGGAGGGCGACGAGGAGGGCGAGTGGGAAGTGCTCCTCTCTCTCGTCAGCGCCTCCACCCTCGTCGCCAAGTTGGCCGCCGCCGGCACCGACGCGGCTGCTCTCGAGGCGCGGGCCGAAGCTGCAATCAGCGACGCTGCAGCTGCCCTCTCCCGCCGCTGCAGCCGGGTGGGCGAGGGGATGCGCGCGTCTGGCGGCTACTCGCCGCCGGCGCAGCGGCGACTGGTCCATCTCTCGCAGCTCGAGGCGCCCGTTGCCGCCGCGCTCCGCAGCCGATGGGACGAGCTGCTGCCCGCAGGCCGCAAGGCCGCCGCCTCCGCCGCTGTGCGTACCGCAGCCGCTGCCGCTGCCAAGGCGATGCGCGCCGCAGTGGAGGAGCTGCTGGTGCGGCTGGCGGGCGCCCCCGTCCGCTCCAACGCGCGCCAGGCGCTCGAGTCGGATGAGCTGCCGCTGCCGCCGCCGCTGCGTGATGGGCCTCGCAAAGCCGTGTGCGAGGCGTGCCGCCACGCGCCGCACTCCACGGGAGCATGGCGGGCCTAGACAACAGGGCCTAGACAACAGGCAGCACTGTCTTGTCCTTAGGCGGTGCGCGAGTCGGAGGCGGCTTTGCTGAAGGCGAGCCGCGAGGCGCTGCGCACGAGCGCCACTGCTCTCGCCAGTGGGTGAAGAGGCAGAGGACAGAGACGACGGCGCGCCGCGAAGCAAAAGCCACGCGCACTCACAAAACCTTACTCTCCGTGGTCCGCGACTCCGAGACGGCGCGCGAGAGGGGCGTCTATCCCTGGACCCTGCGACAGCCTCCCGATAAAATAGAGCTCGTCCCCCTGCGCCCTGGCGGTGCCCCCACTGGCGCAGTGCGGCACTGGCCCACACCGCGGGGAGGCGCAGCAGTTGTGGGTGGTTTGTACACGACACTGCAGACCCTTGTGAAGAGTCGGCGTCACTTCACAACGGACAACGTACTAGACCGCTGAAGACTCATATCGGTGCCATGAAGCTCAACATGGCATGTGACACACAGACACACATGACACGTGCTCGGCACCACTGACCACCGCTTCCTCCCTCTCCTCCAACCGCAAGCACGAACCACCTCCGACCGTACTGGGCACGGCGCCCCCTCCCCCCCCCCCCCCCCCTGCACTATTGCATCTGCACAGCCACCGAGGAGCTGCGGCGCGACGTCACTGCAGAGTCGCTGCCGCCGCCTTTCCTTCCATGTTGCCCACCGTTGCCGTTGTTTCCGCCCGACCCGACGCCCGCGTTGCCGCCCGCCCGCTCCTCGCCGCCTCGCACCCCCCCGCGAGTGCGGCCCTCCGCAGCTCTGCTTTTGCGACAGCAGCTGGGCGGCGGCACGTCGTGTGGGTGTGCTGCGGCGTGCAGGAAGCGATGCGTCAAGGAGCCGTCGTAGCCGGAGAGCAAGAAGAGCGCCACGCTCACCGCGAGCGTGCGGTAGGCGCGGAGCGGCACGGCGGCGAGCTGGAAGCAGTGTGTGTCCCGGCAGAGCGCGAAGGTCTGCGGCGTGAACATGCCGTCAGACATGTTTTCGACGGTGACCTGCAGCAGCGGCACCGCCACCAGCATCACGTCGAGGCCGTAAAAGACTGCGGCGTGCTGCGAGACGGCGAGCAGCCAGTGTGCCACGTCCGGCGACAGCGGCAGCGTGAGCAGCGCCAGCTGCGTCACAGTGCGCAACACGGGCCCGACGGCGACGAAGACGAAGAAGGTTGCGGCGTGCAGAGTCGAGACCACGTCCCAATCGTTTGCGGCGCCGCAGAGGTAGGCGAGCTGCAGCAAGTTGAAGTCCTCAGCGAAGCCGCTCACGGCAGAACCCGCCTCGGCCGCCGCGCGCGTGACGTCGTCGATGAAGGAACCGCTCACGTCTCGCCGCAGGACCGGAGAGGTCAGCGCGACGGCAAGCGTGACGCCCGTCGCGAGCACAAGCAGCGTGTGCCCCACCGCCGCCGCCGACATGCGCTCGATCTCCCACACCAAGGACGGCGCCAGCTCGCCGCTGTTGCTCGCCCTCCGCGCAGCGACGAAGGAGTTGGCGGGCGGCGGCGTTGTGGCGGGCTGGCGGTGTCGCTCGTCGAGCAGGTCGACGAGGACGCCTGTGGGAAGGTTCCGAGACGGATCAGGGAAGCTTCTCTTGGTCGCTCGTCGAGCGGGCCGACGAGGACGCCGGTCGCGAGCGAGAGGAGCACCGCGGCGCAAAAGAGGCCCATCGCCTCCTCGCCTACACACGTCCAGGACACGTCCACGACATGTCCAAGACATGTCCCGTAGGCCCATCGCCTCCTCGCCGATGACGCGCAGGAAGGCAGTCGTGTTGAGCGTGAGCGAGCCGAGCACCGGAGGGAAGGAGTGGCCGAGCAGCTCGGAGATGAAGCGATTGGCGGCGAGGCCCGCGTTGAGGTTGACGAAGAGGAGGGCGAGCAGCGCTGCCGCCACCATCACGTCCGAGAAGGACCACTTCCCGAGCACGGCGAGCAGCCACAGCACGTTGCGGCGCGGCGCGGCGCGCAGCGGCGCGTACCAAGCGGCGTGCAGCGCGAGCAGCTTGAGGTGCGGCCTACGGGACATGTCTTGGACGTGTCGTGGACGTGTCGTGGACGTGTGCAGCGCGAGCGCTCGAGGTGATGCCAGCAGAGCGACGAGAAGAAGAGGAAGGCCGCCGCCGGCCGGCCCGGGTACTCGAGCTCGCAGCCTGGCCCGCCGTCGGGCGGAGGAGGGAAGTCGAAGAACGGGTCGCCGAGCAGGCGCGAGCCGGAGCACTGCTCGAAGGAGGCCCAGCAGCCCCACTTGTTGCAGTCGGGGTACGGGCCGTAATCGGTGCAGGAGGGCCACATGTCGCCGCACGCGCGCAGCCGCGCCTCGCGCTCGCGAGTCCACGCTTTGGACCACTTGCCCACGTAGCGGCGGTCCTTGTCGGGGCGGCCGTTGCCTTGGGCGTCGACGACGCGGTCGGTGCGCCAGAGAGCGATGAGCGAGTACAGGTACGAGAAGGAGAAGACCGTCTGCGAGGCGACCATCCGGCGGCACTCCATCAAAGAGCACTCGTTTTGGCCGCCGGCCGCCAGCTGCGCGCTCGCGTTCGCGCCGAGCCAAGAGCACTGCACGTCTGAGTGCTGGCCGCCGCCGCCCAGCTCCTTGGGGAGCCCGCCGCACTGCTGCCAGAGCAGCCCGTCCAGCACCGTCTGGACGGCGCCGCTCGGCTCGAAGGAGACGTCTGCAAACACTTCCGCGTGGAAGATGCCCTGCCCGTGCAGCTCGTCCCGCTCGTACTCCTGCTCCGAGCCCGAGAGCTGATTGATACTTTGTAATCATTAACTACGAACCATTGATTAGGTACTCCTGCTCCGAGCCCGAGAGCCTCTCGTAATAGCATTAATAGTAATAGTATTATGATTATTACGACTATGATTACGATGATGCTTGTGCTCCTGCTCCGAGCCCGACAGCTGTGCGTGCAGGAAGAGCGCGTGCGAGCCGACGCAGAGACCGCTCACCGCGAGGGAGGCAAGCACGCCGTAACGCGCGCCGAGCGACCTCGCCGCCTCCCTCCCGCCCGCCGGCACGGAGAGGCGCGAGAAGGAGCTCTCCCTCCGAGGGCGGCAGCGCGCCAGCAGCGCGCACGCGAGAGACCCGGCCACGAGCAGCGCCGCGAGCGCCTCTGCGCGCTCCTCGACGGTGTCGTCCGAGAAGGGCGGAGGCGGCTGCTGCGGCGGAGGCGGAGGCGGCGCGGGAGGGCGGCGTGGCGGGGAGAGCGGCGGCGGCGGCGGCGGCGGCGGGGAGGGCGGCGGGAAGGGCGCCGCCGGCACGCAGCAGTGGTAGTCGTCGCACGCGACGAGCGGGCAGCCGAGCGAAAAGTAGTCGGTCTTGCAGCACGCCTTGCCGTCGCCGCAGTGGCGGTCGCACGGGCCCGGCCCGCCGCACGCGCGCCAGCAGTCGAGCGGGTGATACGGCGGCGGCGGCGGCGGGGGAGGAGGCGACGGAGAAGGTGGCGGCGGGGGTGGCGAAGGCGGCGGCGGCGGCGGAAGCGGAGACGGGGGTGGGGGTGGAGGAGGTAACGGCGGCGGCGGCGGAGGAGGCGGAGACGGCGGCGGTGGCGGCGGCGGCGGCGGAGGAGGCGGAGACGGCGGCGGTGGCAGCGGCGGTGGCGGAGGAGGAGGAGACGGCGGGGGCGGCGGCATCGCTGGCGGAGGAGGAGGAGACGGCGGCGGCGGAGATGGCGGCGGCGGCGGTGGAGGCGGCGGCGGGCTCGGCGGCGACGGTGGCGGCCGCGGCTGGTTGCAGCAAAACTTGAAGCACTGGCTGTCGTCCTCCTGAGCCCAACCGAAAGTTCCGGGCGCGTGGAAGCCGGGGCAGGCCCACCTCTCGGTCCAGCCGCAGCCGCATTGAAAGGGCTGGGCAGGTGGTGCGGGAGGGGGGCGGGGCGCACGCGTAGACAAGAAGAGGCCGCGCTCCTGGGCGGCGTCGGGGAGGCGGGTGGAGAGGCCATCAGCAGCGCTGGACACGCTCTCCGCAACGGCCTCTCCGACGGCCCCACCGAGCGTCGCGAGGGTGTCCCACGTCTCGGTTCGAAAAATGTAGCTGGGGCCGGCCGGGCCGGCCACCGTGAGCATGACAGCTGCCGAGCCTTTCGGCGCGCCCCCTTCTCGGCGGAAATAGCTGCCGAGCCTTTCCTCAGGCAGCGCGCTCTTTGCGCTCGGCGAAATCAGAAAAGAATTTGTCGCGAAATTGGGTTCTTCTCCGTTTTCTTTCGGCGACGGCTAGCGCATCACACCCTCCTCTCCTTAAAATCCCTGTGTGGTGGCGGCGTGCCGTTCTCCCATCCCTCCCTTGGGTTGTGTGTTTTCTTTCTTTCTTTCGTTTTCTTTCTTTTTCCTTCGCTTTTGCAAAATCCTGCAAAGGTGGGGACGCGTCTGTCCTCGAGACCTCGACCCAGCCCTAGCTTGGGATGCCCGTTTTATTAATAAATAAATAAACAAAGAGGCGTAGAAAATCCAAAATCCAAGATTCTTTGTGGGTGTGATGGGACACCTCCGGCACAAAGATTCATCAAAGATCGCACGGGCGGGGTTCTTTGTGGGTGTGGTCGGCGAGCCCCACCCGCACGGGTTAGCGCTGGGTTAGTGGCTTAGAGACTATGGAGAGTTCACGTCATGACGGTTAAAACGGCTGTTAACCGTCATGACGTGGTCAATATGTCATGACAGCGGCTGCGAAACGACAGCAGCAACGACGGCAGCAACGACAGCTGGTGACAGCTGGTGACAGCTGGTGACAGCTGGTGACAGCCAGCTGCCAAGGAGGAGTGAAAGGCACCAGGAACAGTGACAGCCATAGTGACAGTGACAGTGAAGCCAGTGAATGCCAACGACAGGCGGTGACAATGTCAGCGCGGGGCCCCGCGAGTGACAGCGACAGCGACAGCGACAGCGACAGCGACAGCGACAGCGACAGCGACAGCGAGGCAGCGCCACAGGCACAGCCGTGAGGCAGCCATAGCCCTCGTGAACGAACTTGAGCTTATTCCAGCCATAGTCATCGTCTACGATCCACATGCAGACTGCCGGTGACAGCATGCACCTTGAGAGGTTCAACCCGAGGTGTGTTGCTCAATGCTCTGCGCGTTTGCTTGTGATCGTGATTTCAAGGTCCCAATCCTCGCGGCTGAGGATTGACACCGTTCGCTCGCGTGAGATTTTTGAGCGGCAGATGAACCAGCGCTGGAGCCCATCACGGCACATGCTGGAGGAAGGAGGGCAAGGGTTTTGCAGATTCTCCGACTCACGCCCGCTGCTGCTGAGCGTGCGTGGCTACTGTTGAGAGGGTTTCTCATGTGGCGTCGGGCGTGCGAGTGAGCGGTCTCGCGCGCATGCATCTATATCTTGAGTGTCCTGTCTCTCTCGCTAGTGGCACCACACACTGTCCTGCGGGGGTGCTCATGACAGCAGCAATGACAGCAGCAATGACAGCAGCAATGACAGCAGCAATGACAGCAGCAATGACAGCACAGCAGCAGCAACGACAGCGATGACAGCAGCAATGACAGCAGGAATGACAGCTGCGCAATTACAGCAGCAGTGACAGTTGGACCGTCGGGGATGGTTACGACAGCAGCAACGACAGCAGCAACGACAGCAGCAACGACAGCTGGTGACAGCTGGTGACAGCTGGTGACAGCTGGTGACAGCTGGTGACAGGTAGGTGTCACTGTCGCTGTCGTTTGCTGTATGACAGCTGGCAGCTGTCATGACAGCGGCTAACCGTCATGACAGCGGCTAACCGTCATGACGTGAACTCTCCATAGTCTCTTAGTGCCGGGTTATGGCAACCCATTCTGACCCGAGCTGACCCGTGCCGGGTTAGTGAGCACTAACCCGCGCTAACCCGCGCTTACCGACAGACTCACACTCAACTACAGTTGTACTCAACCCGCTCCACCGACTACAACTGTATCAGCCACTATCATTCGCCGCTGTCAAAACTCTGTCCGTGCTTGCTTTTCCGCGTTGCGGCCCGAACGGCACGAAAGCGCTTGCGTCCATGTCGCTTCTCTGCTCGCTGGTCCTCGGAACACCAGCCAGTCCGAGCATCTGCTCCGCCGACACGCAGTGCGCCAATGATTCGCCTGTTTGCTGCCACGGCACCTGTGCCAAGATTTGCATGAGTGCCTCGCCGCCACCAAGCCCTGGACTTCCCGAGGAGTGGCTCCGTGAGGAAGTGCCCGGCGAACCCGCCGCCTGCACCGACGACTCCCAGTGCAGACAGAAATATGAGACGTGCTGCCGATGGAACGACACCATTGGAGGCTATGGCGGAGAGGGCACGTGTGCTCAGGTGTGCACGCTCTCGAGCGTCAAGCAGTCGCCTCCCCCCACCACGCCGCCGATGCAAGACGCATCGCCGTCACCAAGCCCTGGACTTCCCGAGGAGTGGCTCCGTGAGGAAGTGCCCGGCGAACCCGCCGCCTGCACCAACGACTCCCAGTGCAGACAGAAATACGAGACGTGCTGCCGATGGAACGACACCATTGGAGGCTATGGCGGAGAGGGCACGTGTGCTCAGGTGTGCACGCTCTCGAGCGTCAAGCAGTCGCCTCCCCCCACCACGCCGCCGATGCAAGACGCATCGGCGCCGCCGTCCCCTCGAACCTGCAGCGCTGAGCTTGCGTGCCCCAAGGGCGACCAAGGTCAGCTCCTGACCTGCTGCCGCTGGGATGGCGTCAACGCCACCAACGCAGCCGAAGGGCACTGCGGCGAGGCATGCATTGCTGGCAACATCCCCTTCACTGGCGAGTCGCCGCCGCCTTCGGCCTCGCCGTCGCCGTTGGCCTCACTGCCGCCTCCGGCGTCGGCCTCGCCGGCACCCACGCCCTCTAAAACCGACGAGCCTCAGAAGTTCGAGATGGAGGGAAACGAGCCGCGGCGTACCGGTGTGATCGTCGGCACGGTTGTGGCAGCAAGCGCAGGTTTGGCCCTCGCAGCCGCAGCAGCCTACCTGTGCTTCAAGGGCCGCCAGACATCGTCGGACACCATAGACGCCACCGCAGAGAAGGCAGGGCTGGATGCCATCCAGGCTATCTGAGTGACCGTTCATCCAAGGGGGGGGGGGCGGAAGAGGGATGTTGCATGTTGGATGTGTACGCCAAGGGCGCATACTTGTGGAAGGTCTAGGTCACCCCCCCGCTTTGTGTTGCGCGACAGCGCGTGAGTGGGGCGGAGGGGGGCTTAGTTAGCTTTGCGCTCTCCGGTCTACCGTCCACGGCTTTCTAGGCTCTAGCCACGCGCTGGCGTGACCGTGAGTGAGGCGGAGAGGTGGGGGCTTAGTTAGCGTCGCGCTCTCCGGTCTCTCGCCTTTCATGACGCATCTTGAGACAAATACCCTCATACAGAGCCGTACGACACACACTTCCCCCTGTACCCCGACCACACCCACTGACCCACAAACGACAAAGAACCCTCACAAAGATCGCAAGGGCGGGGACCTGTTCCTTTTCACCCATCTGCATCACCTAGTAGAGGTGTCCGTTTTTATTTATTTATTTATTTGCCGGGAGACTCGAACACGGAGCATGCTATTTGGTGGAGCCATCAGAGGCGGCCTCGTCTGGCTCTGCGCCGCCGCCTCGATGTCCAGTCAGCCGGCGGAAGAGCGACTTGCTGACATCACCAAACTCATATTCCGTTTTGCCGGTGACAGACCTGAGGGCGCCCTTGGAGAGGTCGCCGAAGCGATACTCGTCGCTGCCCGTCACACGATGGACTGTCTCCTCCGTGAGGTCACCAAACCTGTACTCGTCCTTCCCTGTGTAGCCACGCACGCCGTCGGCGACCCCCTGCGCCGCTCGCTCCGCCAGCCGCACGCCCACCTCCTGCACGGCACGAACGCCCAGCTCCGCCTTCAGGACAGTGCCGTAAGTCGCGAGTAGCACGGCGGCGGGCATCGCAGCGAGGCCGGCGACCGGCGCCGCGGTGCCGGCCCCTAGGAAGAGACAGACCTTGAGCAGCAAGGAGATGTCGTCCGTGCTCCAGTCGGCCTCCACCTGCCGCTGCACCTCGCCACGCACGCTCTCCACCACCGACTTGCTCAAGTCGCCGAACTGGTAGCTCTGCCCACCGCTTTCAGCGAGAGCACCCGCTTCAGCGACCGCGCGCTGCTCAACTCTGGAGAGGAGGGTTGGGAGCGCCGCCTCCTGCGCTTCGGGCGGCTGCTCGGCCAGCTCGGCCAACTCGCCCTGCACAATCGAATCCAGCAGCTCGCGCGCCACCGTGTCGATGATTGGTCCTCCGCCATCTTCTGTCGCTGCCATCGAAAGCAGTGCCCGAGGATTTACGCTGCGTACTGCTGAGCCGCCAGGCTGGACAGGCTGCACTCGCAACGCCGATGAGCCGCCATGCACTCGCGCCGCCGCTGAGCCGCCAGGCTGGACAGGCTGCACTCCCAACGCCAATGAGCCGCCATGCACTCGCGCCGCCGCTGAGCCGCCAGGCTGGACAGGCTGCACTCGCAACGCCGATGAGCCGCCATGCACTCGCGCCGCCGCTGAGCCGCCAGGCTGGACAGGCTGCACTCCCAACGCCAATGAGCCGCCATGCACTCGCGCCGCCGCTGAGCCGCCAGGCTGGACAGGCTGCACTCGCAACGCCGATGAGCCGCCTGGCTGGATGCAAAGCAGCGCTGCCGTTAGAGCGCGCATGAGTCAGAGGAAGCAGAGGCAAGACAGTCAGTCAGTCTTACACACCTCCTCGATGGAGGACGGGCCACACGCAAGCGACAGAAAGAATTTTCAAGCCTGGACTGGCGCACTGGCACTAACAGTGCGATGGAGAGAGTAATGCTCCGTCGTGGAGCGACGTGCTCGATCGATTCATTGAATACAGCAGGGAGGTTAACGGGGTGTGCACAAGCGCACCCAACATGACAGAACACACGTTCGAAGAAGGGCGAACCAGGACGGACATCCGAGTGGAGGGGAAGGCCAGGACGCTCTACCTCGGAGGGAAGAAACCGGCGCAAGACAGCGGCACGCAACTGGGGTCGAGAGAGGACGGGGACAATCGAGTGATAAAGCTGGAGGGGACCCCGGGCCTCGATACCAACGCGACATGGGAGGAGGAGATACCCGAGCAAAATAAGATCACGAAGGACGCGGTGAGAAAGATGATGGAGAGACAGGAGAGGGAGCGACAGGAGGGGAGCCTCGGGGCGGATGAGACGTTGTTCCCAGAGGGGGCGCCCCAGAGACACATAAACTGGAAGAAAGAAGACTACGAGCTGTTCGTGGGGCACGGACACGGGGCGAGCGCGATCAGAGTAGGGGAGCTACAGGAGGACCCCCTAACGCGCTTCTTGCTCCGATACGACGAATTTGAGACGGGGGGAGAGCTGACGGACGGCAACGGGAAGCGAATTAAGATGGGAAAAGACAGCGAGCCGCTGCGGTCGGGGAAGGGACGAGCCTTGAACGTGAAAGTAGCGCAGACATGCCTCGCGCTGCACGTCTCACACCAGTTCACACACTTTGCGGCGACGGACGGAGGAAAGGACCATGAAGACAAAAGGGCGGAGGATGGAAAGTACGTGCCGAACCCTAGGGTGGCGTACGGCGTGTTCGAAGGACCGACACGATTCGGAAAGAGCGTCCCGGGAGACGCACAGGTAAAGGATCCCAACGGAATCGGACCCTGTGAAGAAGGGGAGATACGGACAGCGTTTGGGGCGGGAATGTGGGGAGGAAAGCTGCCGAACATGTGGGAGCCGATAGACGCGGAGATGTACGCGATACTCGCATACTTACGCAAAATGGCGAGCGCGAGCGATGCGCAAGCGCGGCGGTGCTTAGTGCTATGCGACTGCAAACCCGCGCTGCAGCAGATTGAGAATGCGCACCGCAAAGGGATGCCAGAAGGCCTGAGGGACTGGGAGAGAGGCGGACTGCTGGAGGCGATCGCTTACTATAGATCGTAGCTAGAGGCGGTGGTCTTCATGTGGGTGCCAGCACACGTGGGAATAGCCTGCAACGCTTACGCCGACGCGGTGGCGACAGCACACCTCGGGGATAACGACACGGAGGACGCCTCGAAAGTGGTGCGGGACGCGGTGCGGACGCGGCCATGCATGTACACGGTGCGAAGGGAGGCGGCAGAGAACGCAGAGAAGAGGGAGATAGTGGACCGACGGACGTACGGACACATGTGTAAGAGCGCGCACGAGTGGGTGTGCGAGCAATATCGAAAGACAGTGAGGCCGGGGTCGCACACGGCAGGGGTGGCGGGACGGTTGTGGAGCGAAGTGGCAGTAGCCAGCCTCAAGCATCGATGGGATAATAAGATGAGATTACCAGACGAGAACGGGGGGAAGGACAGGCGGGCGACATTTGACGACGTCGGGGATCACAATGTGACGACCAAAACGATCTTGGGGGCCAGGGTGAGACAACAGGTCGGGGTGCCACATGGGGCACACCACAGGCGTATTCTAGAGGGGGAAAAGAAACGGGGAATGAGGGGCCCCGCCACGAGAAGTGCGTTCTGGGGATGCAGAGCGTGCAAAGCGGCTAGGGATGAGGTCGCAAAAGAGGCGCGCGAGGCAAGGAGGAGACGCGGGGAACTGAAAGACTGGGACGACTGGAAACAAGAAGACAGTGAGCCACCACAGGCGTCGTTGGCGCACATACTGAGCGGCAGCTGCGCTGGAAATAAGGAAGAGGCGCGTCACTTCATGCGGAAGCTCGACAAACACACAGCGAGGGCGACAGCAAGAGTTGAACGGGAGGCGCCGGACTCAAAAGACACCGCCACATTCCTGAGACGAGCGAGGGCAGCCTCCTTAAAGGCGAAAGGGTCTAGATTTGGGGCGCTCGCCGAAGAGGAGTACGACAAAATAGCACCCGTGATTGCCTGCACGCTACCCGCACTCACGGACTCCATACCCGAAAGAAAGAGAAGGGAGCTCGCGGGAGAGGTGACGAGTGAACTACAGGTAGTGGGGAAGGCAGCCTCGATTGCCATACAGACATGGGTGCGAAACAACGACAAGACCAAGGCACGGGCAGAGGAACGAGAGAAGAATATAGGGTGGATAAAGCGCCTGTTCACGGCATGGAGGGTGAGCCACACCGAACGTACCGAACGTAGAGCCGAGCGGAGGGAAACGGGGGAAGACGACCCCGAGGAGGACGAACCAGTGGAAATACCGTTGTCAGCCGTCACGATGCACCCGAAGGGGACCCCAGCGCCGGCATCATCCGTGAAGGCACAAGTGTTCGAAGAGAGAGTGGACCTGAGCAATGATATGACTGGGTGGCAAATGATCGCAGTGGGCGTCAGAAGACTCGTCCTTGCGCGAGGAGAGCTCGATAGACTCGAGGGGCCAGGATATGCAGCGAGGAGGGCGGAGCTGCGCCGAAAGGCGAAAGAAGCCGCGAGAACAAGGGACCGGCAGGCGGCGGCGGCGTCGCAGAACGAGACAGAGGAGAGCGACGCGACAGAGGAAGAAGCGACAAGGGAGAGCACGACGAGAAGGGGGCGACCGCGAGGTGGCACGAAGGTCGCAGCGAGAATCGGAGAGAGACTGCGAAGAGAGATAGGAAGAGGCGGACGCCCAAGGGTGGGCGACGGCTAGTGCACCACACCCCTCTCCTTAAAATCCCTGTGTGGTGGCGGCGTGCCGTCCTCCCATCCCTCCCTTGGGTTGTCCGTTTTCTTTCTTTCTTTTTTTTGGCACTAACAGAAAAAAGAAGAAACGATGGAGGATTTCTGTTTTCTTTCTTTCTTTACTCGGCGGGCACTGGCACTAACACAGAAAAGGAATTGGTCCGACGGACCCAAGCAGCCTTTCAGTTTTGTTGCCTTTCAAGCGAAAACGAATTCTTGCTTCAACTCCGCCATGCAACCGCTTTGAATCCCCTGCCCACTCCCAGTCCGCAACCGCATCCCGCCATCGACACAGAATCTCACTCGACTCCGCCGTCGTGTTCGGCCGCATTTGGATCCCTCAAGTATACAGCCTCCCCACCTGCGCCTGCCGTCTGCTGCAGCGTTGTGTGCGACACTAGTCACTGGCCGTAGAACGGCTCCGAGCAAAAATTGGAGGGGAACCAGCCCAGCTGCCCGTTGAGGGAGCCCTTCCACCACCCGTCCGCCCTCTGTTCCACCACCTGGACCACGTCGCCTTGCCGGAAGCCGAGGTCGCCCTTTGGGGAGGGGTGTGGGGGGGGAGGTGTTCGGAAGGGCTGTACGGGCCGGAGGGGTGGTGAGGAGGTGTGGCATGCCTGCTGCTGGGCGTTGAAGTCTGCAATCGCCTGGACGTAGGTGCCCTGCCCGCCGGCCGCCTGGCCGTACCCACCGCCCTGCAGGCCGGGTGTTGAGCCGTCGTCCATCTCGCACTTGTAGACCGCCCCCTCCGGGTCCCCCGCGTCCAGAGAGATCTTGCAGCCGTGCGAGAGCACCATCGACTGCCCGTGCTGTAGCCAGGCCCACGGCTCGTACGGAGACCTGCGGAAACCCGTCGGAGGCTTTCCGATCGAGTAGACCGTCGCGGTCCCGTCCGGCCTGACTTGCACCGCGGCCTGCTGACGCGAGACGGTAAGCTTTGTGCCGAACGTCTCGACCATGTCAAATCGCCCGAGGATCTGCTCCCTCCCTGGTGTGACCTGGTAAGTGTTTGTGAGCGAGGAGCCAGCGCCGTCGCGCGGGAAGACGTTCCAGGTGCCGTACGCTGCCGGCTGCCCGTATTGCCCGTTGCCCTGCTGCGCGGTGCCGTACGCTGCCGACTGCCCGTAGTGCCCGTTGCCCTGCTGCGCGTAAGAGACGGCGGCGTAGGCTTGGCCTCCGTAATGCTGGCCGTACTGCATCTTGACGCACGCTCGGAAAGACGACGCAGCAACGGGCGTGGGCAATGCCGGCTGACCGCCGTGCAATGCTGTGGCAATCGGCAGCATGCTGGCAGCTAGCAGCCAGGCGGTGGCACTGGACAGCATGTGGACTGCCATTCCGGGTGAAGGGAATCAAGCCGAAAACTTTTTTATTCGCTTTAAAAGATTTCCAAAATCACGTGCGAAGGAAGATTTTTTCATTTTTTCACTCCCTCTTCCTGTTGTTGAAAATTCCGCGAATGCACCCGGTCGTAGGGCACACTTGGACACACCCCAAGATGCTGTCGCTCCTGGTCGCCTCGTTACCTACAGCTCTCAAGTTGCCACACACTAACCCCAACCCAGCCAGAGGGCGAGCCATCTACATCTCCATGGCCGTCACCGAACTCAAACCAACCACCACTTCACCTACCGCCCCGACAGCTCCCGCCGCGGGTATGGTTGGCCGCGTGGTGCCGACGGCTCGCAAGCGTGCGGCTATACGGCGCTCGGAACTCGACGCGTGGCGGGAGTACGAATACCTCCGAGGCGACGAATTTAGCTGGACGAGCTCAAAAAATTCTTTGCATCCAAGCCGCAGGTCATCGCAGCGCGGCTGTTAGAGATCGCCAGGACGGTCAAGTCGGCCAAGGATGCGTGGGACGCCGGTGCCGACGCCGGCCTCGCCACGGGTGAAGCGTCTGACGAGTTCAACCCAACCGTCGACACGCGCGGTGACGCACCAGCGCCAGGGTGTGCAGATCCAGCCACCTCGGCGGAAAAAGAAATCACCGTGGGTGTTAGGGGACCCCATCACACTGCTGTGAATATGTCCCCAACCCATACTAGGGACCCAGAGCATATGCAGACTCGGCAGCACAGAGACGGCACGTCTCCAGTGCCCTTCCCCGGTCTTGACCCCTTAGGCGCGGCAGGGACCTCTGCGAGGCGATGGCGTCCCTCGGCCCGGTGTCTGTCAAGATCTCGCAGACGCTCTCGCAGAGGCCGGACATCGTGGGTGACGAGGCGGCGACCGCGCTCAAGCGGCTGCAGACGTGCAACGTGCCCTTCGCGGACCGCCTCGCGTGGGCCGTCGTCAAGGAGTCGCTCGGCTGGGAGGGAGCCATCGCCCCGGGCGTGGGCGAGGACGAGGGGAGCGACGGCGGCCCCACCCTCTTCGCGGAGATCACTCCGCAGCCGGTGGCGGCTGCCTCGCTCGGCCAGGTTTACAAGGCGGTCACGCACGAGGGGAGGGAGGTCGCGGTTAAGGTGCAGCGGCCGGACGCGCTGCAGGTGCTCGCGCAGGACTACCTCTGCTTCGTGGTCACGTGGGGCGCCATCGAGGCGTGGTGGTCGCTGGGCGGCGGCTTCGACAACGGCGACATCCGTTCGGTGGTCGACCGGGTGGCGGGCGAGGTGCTCGACGAGCTCGACTACGCGAAGGAGGCGCGGAACGGCGACCGGTTCGAGGCGTCGCTCGACTTCCTCGGCTTCGTCGGAACGCCGGTCGTGCTGCCAGAGTACTCGAGCCGGCGCGTGCTCGTGACGGAGTGGGTGCGGGGCGAACACCTCTCGCGGCTGTCGGCCGAAGAGGGCCTCCGCATGACGCGGATGGCCGTGGAAGCGTGCACCGCCTCGCTCGTCCTCACCGGGTACGTGCACGCCGACCCGCACGAGGGCAAGCACGTCCTCGGTGAGGAGGCCTCGTCGGGACCTCGGCTCACCTGTGCGCATCCCGGCGGTAGGCAACCTGATGCTCGCCGACGACGGGCGCGTCATCTTCCTCGACTTCGGGCTCATGTCGGTCGTCGACTCGCAGATCATGGAGGCCTTCGCCTCCGGCATCCAGGCGGCCCTCTCAGAGGACTGGGTCTCCCTGGCGCAGGCCTTCAAGGACACCGGCTTCGTCAACGACCCCGTGCAGTACCGGAGCGAGCCGAGCGGGCCCTTCACTCCGGTCGGCGTCGACGAAGCGACGGGAGAGGACTTGGGCCTCGCGCGCTTCTCGCGGGAGCTCGAGGACGCGATGAGGCGGACCGAGGGCGGCTCGTCGCGCTTCGGCGCCCTCGCCACCGTGCTAAACCAGGAGCTGGCGCCGCGCTGGAAGATGTTCACGCCTCCGTACATCCTCCTGCTCATCCGCACTTTCCTCACCCTCGAGGGCATCGCTGGCCGGGTCGACCCCGACTTCAACATCTACGAGATGGCGATGCCGTGGGCGATGCGCCGCTCTCTCTCCCCTGAGAGCGCCGAGGGGGTCGCCGCTCTCCGTTCCACCCTCCTCACCCCCGACAGCCGCGTGCAGTGGGAGCGGCTCCTCCAGCTGGTGGCCGAGGCGCAGGCGGCGCAGCGGGACGGAAAGGCAGAGGCGGAGGAGGGGCTCGCCGCCGCCCCGCCCGCCGCCTCGGCCTCGAACGAGGCGGCCAGGGCTGCGGCGATGAACGACGCGGTCGGGTCGCTGCTCGGCTCGCGCCCCGGGCTCGCACTCCGCCGCCTTCTCTCCGAGCTCGACTCGACCGATCTCGCCGCGCGCCTCGTGTCTCGCCCGCCGGGCGGCCGCTGCGCCACGCGGCCGCCTTCGCGCTCTCCGACGCGCTCGCCGCCCGCCGGCTTGCGGCTCGCGGGTCGGCGTTCGAGGCGGGCGGCGGGGCGGCCGAGAGCCGGCCCGTCTCGGAGGCGGCGCAGCGCTTGCGCCGTCGGCAGGAGGCGCGGAGAAGCAAGGTGTTGGCCCTGCTCGTCAAGAGTCACCTCAGCCGGCAGCTGCGGCGAGGCCCCAAGGGGGTCTTGGCTCTGGCGTCGTTTGCCTACCTCGTGGTCCGTGTCGCGGCTGGCGCGCTTTGCCAGTCGCTGCTGCGCTCCCTCCGGAAGCGCTTGCAGTGGAGCGGCAGCGCCGACCCGGCTGGCATGCAGGGTCAGGCGCCCGCCATGGCGCCCGCACACGCCGTGTGACAGCGCAAAGTTACTGTACTCCGCTCCACCCTCCCAGTCCCACGCCCCCGCCTCGCCTGTGATGCGGCTGATGCGGTGTGAGCACGGTGGGGAGCGGAGCAGAGAACGGCTCGAGAGACGTAAAAAGCCGTGTACGCTGTACGCGCGACGACGACCGCGCGTACAATTTGATCTCAAAATGTCCGGAATGTGTGTGTATACGTGGGGGCCTGCAGCGTGCAGGGTCGCACCGTGCATTTGCTGTATTATACGTAATGGTACACAACGCTCAGCCGCTTTTGTGTGTGTGTGAGAGTGGCCAGACGCGACCTGGAAACCAGCACATAAGAGTAGCAGCGGCGCAGGGGCTACACAGACAATGCTCTCAACGGCGAATGGGGCTCGCGCTGCCACCCCCGTGCGCACCCCAGCCACCACGCGATTCACCGACAGGCTGCCACTCACCCAGCGCCCATGACCAACGGGGCGACGACCCCGCTCTCTCGCCCCCGCGCCGCCTTTGAGGAGAAGGACGGGTGCCTGCTGCAACTGCTGCCGCCTCGTCCGCCGCGTGGGTTTGCGCCCGCGTCGACCGGCTCGGCGAGCAGATCAAAGTCAGCCGAGTGAATGGACGGCGCCGAGTCGGGCACGGACTTAACAGACGAGGGCAGCGACGATCCCGAGTCCATCATCGCGAGCATGTTGCTCCACTCTAGTGCTTTCTGACGACGCTCGAGCGCGGCGATATCTGCCGTTCGCAGACCCTTCGGGAGGAGGCCTGTCTCCCACCGCCGCGCCCATGAGAGGCAGAAGCACCCGCAGCAGCGCACGCGCACGCACGACGGAATGCACCGGTTCTCATACGCCTCAAAGTTAGCTGTCTCGAAAGCGGCGGTGCTGCGGTCCAGCGTGTTCTCTTCGAGATCGAAAGTGCCATGCGAGGAGGAGCGCGACAGCATGAGCGTGTCACGGGTCTCCCTCGCTGCAGGCGCTGGCTTCCTCAAGGTCGACACCCGCGCTCTCTGGCTAAGAGTACGGAGGCAACGCCAGTCCTTCTGACGCTTGCTGCCCGTTCATGTGTGAGCTGTGTGTGAATCAACAACGCTGCTCGCAACATGCGTGTCGCGCACTCATTCATGACCGGTCTCAATTCCCCACCCCCCCGCGCGCGGGCCTTCTAAGCCCGCGGGTAGTCCCCCCCCATCCCCAGGGCCTCCAGGGCTCGCACCTCAACCTCTCACAGGCCAGCGCACAGCGCCATAGGAGGTATTTTCTTCTCAATAACAAGGCTGTGAAATTGAAGATGATGTGGGCTGCTTCTCGACCTGTTCTCGACTGTCTAAATCCCTGTGTGGTGGCGGCGTGCCGTCCTCCCATCCCTCCCTTGGGTTGTCCGTTTTCTTTCTTTCTTTCTTTTTCTCGACTGTCTGTGCTTGTGCGTGTTGGTTTTGTTTTTATAGTGAAGATGTCTCAAGCAAAAATAAACTACACCTGAGAGACTATGGAAAGTTCACGTCATGCATGACGGTTAGCCGCTTGTCACGACCGTTAGCCGCTGTCACGACAGCTGGGAGCTGTCATGACAGCAAACGACAGCGACAGTGACACCTACCTGTCACCAGCTGTCACCAGCTGTCACCAGCTATCGTTGCTGCTGTCGTTGCTGCTGTCATTGCTGCTGTCATTCCTGCTGTCATTGCTGCTGTGGTCGCTGTCGTTGCTGCTGTCATTGCTGCTGTCATTGCTGCTCTCATGAGCACCCCCGCAGGACAGTGTCACAATTTTGTAGTTAACGAGAGAGAGCAGGAGTGCATTTTTTCAGCCGCATCTACGCCGGGTGTGTGCAATGACATACCACGCCGACCGTAGACTCGTTGCTGTCGCGGCCGGCGCTGTCGCGGTCGGCGTCGGCATCTATCTGCTGCAGAGCAGTAAACCTGCTAGCAGCCCGACACCCGCTGCGGCGGCGGCGGCGCCGCCGCCAGCTGAGGCAGCCGGCGGAGGAGATGCTGCTTCCGAGGACCTGCATGCGCAGGCAAAGAGGGCCAAGGACCTCGGCAACAAGAGATTCCAGGGGCGGCAGTACGACAAGGCGTGCGAGGAGTACACGCGCGCCATCGAGCTCGCGCCCGACAAGAGGCACAAGGACGTGGCCGTCTTCTTCGGCAACCGGGCGCAGGCACGCGCGATGCTCGAGAAGCATGCCGAGGCGGAGGCGGACTGCGACGCGGCGCTCGCCATCGACCCGAAGTACGTCAAGGTGCTTAACCGGCGCGGCGTCGCGCGCGAGCGGCGCGGCGACCTCGAGGCCTCCTTCTCCGACTTCACCGCCGCGTCGCTGCTCTCCGGGATGACCAACGAGGCTGCGACCTCCCGCCCAGGGTGACCCTCCCCGCGCGAGGCGGCTCACCACCCGCCCGCGCGAGCCGCGACAGGTCGCCAACGAGGGCGGAGAGCGCGTCTTGCGTCTTCTCGCTGGCCGCCGGGCCTCCGCCCGGCTGGCGCAGCCAATGCGCTCGCTGCCTTCCGCCTCCTTCATCGGCACTCTCCGCACCCCACACCCTTCCCGCGTCGCCCGCGCTTCGCCCCTCTCCGCGCCTCCCCGTGCCTTATCTCCCGCCACCCCGCTCCAAGCTCGCCCGCCCCGCTCCCAGCCACACACGCTGCTCGAGGACCCTTTGGCTCCGGCCGCCGGCCCACCCGCTGCCCCACCCGCTGCCCCACCCGCTGCTTCAGCTGCTGCTTCAGCCGCTGCTCTGCCTGCAGGCACCTTCGTCGACTCGTTCAAGTGCCACCGCGCGATCCTCGCCGCCGAGACCGCTTCGCCGGCGGAGCTCGGCGCGGCGATCGCCAGCACGCCGCCGCCCGAGGGCGCCGCCCTCGCGGGCCTGCTCTGCCGCAGGGCAGTGAGCCACATGTGCGCCTGCTCCACCTCCTGCCTCCTCCTCTTCCTCCACCACCACCATCGTCACCACCACCGCTCCGCCGCCGCCGCCAACACCACCACCGCCACCTCTCCTCCTCCTCACACGCGCCATCTCTCCCCGCCTGACACGTCCACGACACGTCCGAGACACGTCCACGACACGCCCACGACACGTCGAGGACACCTCCCTCGCCACACCCCTCAGGCGAGTCAGCGACTACGAGCCCGCCCTCGAGGACTGGCTCTCCGCGTGCGCGCTGCTCCCTCCACCAGAGGGGGGCCGGGTCGGGGCCGACGGCTCCTTCACGGCCGAGGTCAGGCCGCCGCGATGCGATGCCGCCTCGCGCCCCTCGCCCTCGCGCCCCTCGCCCTGACGCGGCCTCGCCCCGACAAGGCCCTCCGCCCCGACAAGGCCCTCCCCCCTCCCTCTTTGGACCAGGCGCCCTGGCTCGACGGGGTGGGGATCGCGGTGTCGAGTGTGGAGCAGGGCGCCCAGGCGCTCGCCGCTTGGTCGAACGCCGCAAACGCGTCGGGCGGAGCCGCGATTTCGCCGGCGACGGCGCTGTCGATGGCGGGCATGTTTCTGCATCTGCGGGGCAACTACCCCGAGGCGATGACCCTGTACGACTACGCGATCGACTTGCGGCCGCGCTCGATCGACGTCCTGCTCAAGCGCGCCTCGCTCTGGTACGAGCGCGAGGAGCGCTTGAGCAGGATGTCGATCGAGCGCGGTAGCCAGTCGAGCGCGTAGTCGTACAGGGTCACTGTCCCGGGGTAGTTGCCCCGCAGATGCAGAAATATGCCCGGCATCGAAAGCGCTGTCGCAGGCGACATCGCGGCTTCGCTAGACGCGTTTGCGGCGTTCGACCACGCGGCGAGCGCCTGGGCGCCTTGCTCTAACCCTGATCCGCGATTCACAATCTCGTGTGCCAGGGCGGTTGGTTCAATGCGCTATGCTAACGGTCCCTAATGATTTCAGCCACACCCCCCCTCCTGCAACCATTTTGTCCGCCTCTTCTTTCCACCCCTTCCT